TGTTCCATCTCATTTCCCTTTGGGGTTGCTGTAGGTGATCTGGAAGTCTGGTTTTGAGACTTATTTATGAGTTTTCTCATTTCAACTGGGGTGGGGGCTGCTGGCGCCTTCACAGATTACCTCCTCTGAGCTGGGAGAGGTGGGACAGGGGTCGGGAGCAGCAGTAGGGATGGTGGCCCAAAAGCCCTGTACTCTGGTCTGGGAGCAGCGGGAGGGATGGTGGCTGGGAAGCCCCTTCCTCTGGACAAGGAGCAGTGGGATGGCAGCTCAGAAGCCCCTACCGGGAACAGCGGGACTCAGTACAGTGGTCTGGTGGTCTGGTGTCCTCTGCGTCCTTGTAGTGTGGAACCAGTGGTTATACAGAGGAGCGGGGGTGAGGGTCCAGTGGATTGTTGCCAGGGCATAGGCTGATTCTGCATGTTCCACGTGACTCAGGACCTTGGTAGGGTGTGCACAGACCTGCCTGTCTCTGGAATAACTGTTTTCACTAATCCCTCAGATTGGGGATTTTTGCAGCAGACAGCTGTGTTCATTTATCTTATCACCTGAGGCACAGACTTTGTCTTGATTTTTCACTGAAAGAAAATTTTTATTCCCTAACCACAGCAAGGGATAGCTTAGATTTTTTTTTTCTTCCATGGCTACTGGTCATGGTATGTCTAATAATATTTTCAATTACTGGGCGGCCTTTTGCACTTTCAAGATTTATGGCAACCAATAGTCTTAAGTTTCACTCACAGCCACAAAGTAACCAGAGGGTCAGCTTCTGCTATGAATCCCAAATTTTATTCCTCTCTTTTTGAGAGACATATTATTCAGTGTATCCAGTTATTTGTAGACTTTAAGGACTGGTAGTTTAGGTTTAAGGATTAAGTGAAGGGAATGTGTGATTCTCATGTTAATCGTGCTCCCTGCAACCTTCCCATAGTATCTTCCTATTGGCTGAGTCTGGCTTCCTTTGTCTTTTCTAATTCCTCAGAATCTAGCTGCCTTTGCCTTTCTAATTACTGGAGTCTGGCTGCAGAGGTCAAAGCTGTCTTATTAATTTTTAATAAAGTCAGTGAGGCCTTCATCTTATCTTTTCCCTCCCTACACTGCCCCCATCCCTAAGCAAGAGGATCATGAATTCATCTCCAACACAGCTCTTAAATTCTAGTCCAGGCCAGGCAACTCAGTGACTTAGTGAGACCCTATCTCAAAATGTAAAACATAGAAAAAAAGGGCTGGGGATATATGTAGCTTAGTGTGAAGACTCTGGGTTCAATCTTCATGACTGAGAAAAAAATAACCACATTTGAATGCAAATAGTTTTAACACTTTGTGTTACTACATAAGATGTACAAAACACTTGTTACAGTGATTGACTCAAGGGGAAGCAAATGATTGAATGGAGAGTCAAAAGGAACATTTCACTTAAAGGAATGAATGATAAATCATGGGTATTCAGACATGAATACTGAATATTCACTTTTCTAGAAACACCAGTGAAGTAAGTTTGTCACTGCAAAGAAAACAGCTGACTATATTTTCTGCTAATAACAAACTTCAATATTTGGAGTGAAAGTTTAAATTTTGTGAATTCTTTGTCTAATACTCTGAGCTTCATGTGTTCTCAGTATTTGCAGAGTTACATCACTAGTGTTATAGATCAGTAGTATTATAGACAGCTAAATTAGGCAGTGAGACAAGGCTAGGCCCTCAAGGGAGTCAGTTCAGAGGATAAGATGTCAAAACTGTGGCTGGAGGCATATTTGTAGAAGATTAAATTACAATGGGCAGATTGTCACACTTCCTTAGGAATAAATGGTAGTTTGAGATTATTGATACCACCCTTTTCAGATTTCCTGTATAAATAAATCATTATCTCATCAGGGTTAGGTTGTCCTCTTCCACCCACTAAGACTAAGACCACTAAGACTAAGACTAAAGACTAGACTAAAACTATAGATTATCAACCAAGGTTAATGATGTCAACCATATGCCTTTGCTACTATTGAATTAATGTTAGCCAAGTGGCTCTGCCTGTAATCTCATTGGTTGATTATAGTTTTTTAAACATTTTTTTTTTTGGTACTGGCGATCGAACTCAGGACCTTGCACTTTTCAAGCAGGCGGCGGAACCACTGAGCTAAATCCCCAGCCCATGGTTGATTATAGTTTTGACCAGTGTTGTATACATGAGTGTGATTTTGCTGTATAAAACTTTCTCAGAGAAATGGGCTTCTTGACAACACATTTGGGGCCCCTTCTGTCTCCCCAGAGCTATTCCTATTCCTTACTTACCGATATAAATTTTCCCACTCTTTTTTTTTCTTTCTAGTACCCAGGATCAAACTCAGGACCTTGTGCTTAAATTTTCCTACTCTTAGCCTTTGCTGTTCCTTAGAATTCATTCTTCAACTTCAGGGAAACATGAACTCGGCATATCTGACATCTAGGAGGTTGAGGTTACATTTTTTCCTATATCAATAGTAACAAAAGTGATTGTTTTTTGATATTGTATAATGAATGTATCAACATTTGGAACATTATATAACTTAATAAATGTGAATTTTTTCAAATAATGCTTAATGTTCCCAAATCATACTTGAGTCAAAAGTCCATTGCAAGAATAACTAATAAATTTTAATGTAATACTGTCTAAAAAATGTACTAATAGGGTTATATAGTCAGGTTATAACTAACTTTTAGGAAATTGCCACTAGATGAGTTTTGGTGTAATATCAAGTAACAATGTCCTCATACACTGAAAAAGCTGGTAAAATATTTGTCTCTTTTTAACTACATGCCTAAATGAAGCTAGACTCAAAAAATATTGTATTTTGTAACAATGAATTCAGAAGCAGACACTTGAATCCATACATCTATTATGCTAACAAGTTTCACAAAATGCAAAAAATACCAATGTTCTCATTTTTGTTGTTTTTGGAAAATATAGGGGTTTTTTTTCATTAAAATGTTTTGTTTATTTCACCATCCAAATATTGATCATTGTTACTTTAAAATAAAGTAATAAAAGAAAATTTAAAAAATAAAATAAAATAATAAATACATATTTAAATTTTTCTCAATTTAATTTTCTACCACAGTAAATCTTAATAGGTTAAAACCCATACGCAGTGTCTTCAGGGTGTTTATGTTTACGAGTATAAAATATTCGTGAAATTCAAAAGTCTGGAGGACTGCAGGACAGACTGAATTCCATACCTCAAAGAAAAATGAACCCAATAAATCTCCTTATAGAGAAATGTATGACAAAGCTACCTCTCCTAAATCACCAATGTGACATCTACTTAGGCAATGACAGCTAAAGAGAGTGAGGATCTGAAAGAACAATAAATGAATCTGATGCTGGAAAAATAAAAAGGGAGCGGAAGGAAGGGGAAATAAGATGTACAAATTCCCTACAGTGAATGCAATCATTAGGTACTGCAAACATGTACTAATAAAAATTTTAAAAACTAAAAATAGATCTACAAAAATAAAATAAAATAATGAAGATATTATTACATACAAAAAAGAAATTATTAAAAGTTCATTTATAGCCTTAATCTCTCTCTTGGGTCTTAGGAATTAGTGAAAAAGAAAGTTTTAAACAACTAACTTATTATTACTAGCAGTTTGGTTATATAAAATGTGTCATATTAAGGGTTAATGGAAGAGATTAGAGAAAATGATTTTGATTGGTGAAACACTAATCAGAGTGCTCAAACAAATCACTGAAACATGTCATTTTATTTGTGCAACAACTGATAAGATAAAACAAACAGTGAACAAAATTCCTTTCCTAGTGTTATAGTGAATCATTAAACATGAAATGAGGTTCTAAGCTCATGAATGAGTTTATTTCTAATGGTGAGAGAATTAAGCTTAAAGAAGAAAATATAAGGTGAGTAATATCATGTATTGTAGTACCATGTGTTGTAAAATATTCTCTGTAGTAAAGTTGTCAAGATCAGTTGTGTTTGGTTTTTATAATCATATAAATGACTGAATAACTTAAAATTATTAATTCTTATTTAGAATTTCATAAGTGAAATTTTCTTTGGCTTGTGTATGTGTGCTAATTCAAAGACTGTTTTCCTAGAAAATGACTGAGGGAATAGGATAAAACAAGAATAATCAGTATAATACTTTAATTTTAAGTATCTTAGTTCTAAACTCTTTCTTAAGGGATGGCACTATAAACCCAGAAAAGTTAAATTATATGGTTATAGTTGGTATCTGACTTTCACCTCATCCAAACTATAATTTAAAGTCAAAGAAAGAAGAGGGTACAATACAAATATTAACAATACAGAAAATTATAGACATTTTAATCATAATTAGCAGGTGTAGTTGAAGAATAGTAATCACTGAGTGAATGCTGAACCCTCAGGAGACTAATAAGTCCTTATTACAGAGCCATCTATCCAGTATTTTCATGTACTAGATGTGAATCTGGCTTTCATCTTTGCCACACACTTCCATTTCCTATGATTCCTCCACTTTTAAATAGAATTTCAAATTCAGAAACTCTACGTAGGACACTGAGTTTCACAGTGAATCTTTCATTTTAGTGCTGTGGATTAGGGTTATAGGAAGAAAAACAAAAACTCTAAAAAATCTAAAACATATAGAAAATCTAACTTAGTCAGTGCTCTGGGAATGTTTATGAGCTAGGTACTGCAGTAGAGAAAAGAAAGACCGAGGAAAGTATGACTGAATCCCTGCTTATGTTCAGTAGGAAAGAAAGATGGCAATGATAGAACAAAGTATAAAATGTGATAGTAACTGAGACAGAAAAACTGTTACATGAGTTTACTATGAAGTAATGATAGAAGAATATTAGCTGTCCTAATGATCTTAGCAAATGGAGAATAATGAAATCAAGGAAAATACTTTGGTCTGCTGAAGAAAATCTCTAAAAATGTCTTCATAATGATAAATATTAATTTGTAAACAACTCAGAAACATTGCATGGCAATATGTATTTATATACAAAATATGTAACACAGATTAATGATGTCTTAGAAGAAAGTACAGTATATAATTTATGTAATTCATGTGTGAGAGCATGTCTCACTCCAAAACCACAGGGTTTCATGCTTTATATTTTATAACCACTTATTGCCTATTAATTCACATTTAACTCAAAGTTAGTGCCTTAGTTTTACACATTTTGAGGGCAATGTGATATAACTAATCACTGGAGAGAAACCTGTCTCATGCTGAAAGGTTTATTTACATTTATATATATACATGTATGCTGTATATACATATGGTATGTATGTGTATGTGTCTACTCAGCTGTGTGTGTGTGTGTGTGTGTGTGTGTGTGTGTGTGTGCGCGCATGCGTGTATGGCTATAGTTTGGTTCTGGAATGTCCCACTAAGGCTCATGTGCTAAAGGTTTGGTCATCACCTTATAATGATATCGGTAGGTGACAAAATCTTCAGGAGGCGGGCCTAGTGGGAGGTCTTAGGTCACTGGGGACAGGCCCTCGCAGGGATTGTGGGATGTTGGCTTCTTCCTCATTCAATTCCCTGCTATAACTCCTGCCACAGTGTGCTGCCTAACCAGAGTCCAAAGCCAAGGGGCCAGGCATGAGCTAGAACCTTTGGAACCAGGTGTCAAAATGAACCCCTTTTCACTTACAAGTTGATTTATTGCAGGTATTTGTTACAATAGCAGAAAGCACACACACATGCATGCACACATTGTAGGTTATTATCAAAAATTCCTTTTGAATTCAATGATCTTAGAGTCTCATCTTTACAGTATTTTCTTTGAAACCCCAGCCAAATCTGGTATTTCTTTCTTGCTACCATCTTTCAACTATAAAAAGGATGTACTTTCATTTGCCTAGCCTGTTTCATGGAATTTGTGACAAAATCAAATATAAAACATGTGAACTGAGAAGTAGTATTAGAGACTAAGTGGACATATGTATTTTAAGGTCTTTGAGGAGATACTGTGATTAAAAAAATAATGAAAAAATTCTTAGTGAAAAAGTAAACAAGTATTATTCTAATATATACAAAATTATGTTTGGGAGAATTCTAGTCAAAAACCATAGGATTTTATGTTTATCTTTTATAATCACTTATTTTAATGAACTCACATTTTACCTCAAAGATCGCACCTCCATTTTATACACTTTGTTGTCAGTGTGACATAATTAACAGGGGAGAGAGAAACCTACTTCCTAGTGAGAGCTTACATTTTATCATATAATCGTTACATATATTTTATCATAAAATTGCCAGGCCCTCTGGAATATTTTTGCAGCATTAAATTTTTTGTGTGTTTTTCTTCAAATTTTCAAGAATGATTTAAGAGAAAAAATATCTACTATCTTCTATCAGTAAAATATAAATGACTGCCATTTTCAATGTTTCCTTAAAACTTTATCACAGTCACACATATTTTATTACTTATCATTATTACACTCATTGTCTGATTTTCTATTTAATTTGCAATTTTTCATGTTGCTACATAGTCTTGATACCTATAAATTTAGCAATAAACTAAGATTTCAATTATCTGATACACCATTCTTTGCTCAACCAAGTCTCTGTGCTGGGTGGTAAAATTGTTCTAAATTTTTCACTAATATAAATCATTCTTTCATATCTTTCCATTTAATTAGTTTATTTCCTTATTATAAATGCCTAACTAACTTGGATTTAGAGAATTAAAGCATATAGGCATTTCATGGAATTCCTACAGTAATTGTACTACTGCTAAATCCTAATACTACATAATTGTCCTCAAAATCTCATTATTATTGACTTTTATGGTTATAAAAATTTGATAACAGTAAAACCAAACTATATTTTGGTATCTTTTACTGTCATCAAACTGAATATTTGCTCTATTCTTAATTATTATTTTCTGTTTACATCCTTTTCTTGTTTTAAAATATCAGTTGAAGCACTGAATATTTTACTCATCTTAAATGATATCTGTTTGCTTTCCTTCCTGTCTTCATTCTTTCCTTCCTTTTTGGGAGGAAGTCACTTTTCACAGTTTTTTCTTTTTTTTCTTCCACCATCTTCCCTTCTTACCTTACTTGCTGGGGGTGGGTATCTAATTTTAACTTTTAAAAAAACAATAATTGAAATTTGAATTTTAGAATACATGTGGTCTTTAAAATAGTCAATAGGCATCTCCCTGTGATTACTATCCATATATCTAGGAAGAAACTAGAGAATTGAAGCAACAAATAATTACTTAAAACCTCTAAGAGAAAATAACTGAGAGAGACACAGTGATAGGGAAAAAAATAAATTTTGATGATGTAAAAATCCATTCTTTGGAATAATTCACTACAATATTTACTTTTAAGAAATTAAAAAGAGTTCTCTAGAAAAATGATACCCAGATCTCAATTAAAAGAAGCTAAGCTTTTATCTGAGAAGTAAATTTTAATTTATTAAAATAAATTATATGAATACCATATGCATATTTAAAATTTGAGCCTTTTCTATTGTTCATTGAGCTGATAAGAAATCTACCTTCATTTCCCCCCTTGCATAATCTAAACATAGACTGCAAAATTGAATGCCAGGGCCAGTTCTCAAATGGGCTTTCGTACTCCCACACACTGTAGCTGGCTATCCTCCTAGTGGCAAAAGCCACAGAAAGGCATAGGAGGTTGAAAATAGCAAGGTTCAAGGTTAAATTTTACTACAAATTTAGACTTAGCAACCTGTTGTTTTCAGCCCAAATTATTTCCTCTCCCATGACAAAACACACAGTGTTCCTAATTGTAAGTCTGATGTATCGAACAGAGTCCATTATAGGAATTTTTACCATTAGCAATAAGACTTCCAGGCAGGCTGGGATTCTCTAATGGACAGACAGACAGACTTACATGGAAACTCAAATTATAATCAAACATTTGCTTGACAGACTCTGAGATGCCGATGTATAAAAACAGGAATACTATGATTTGACTATTTAATAGCAATAGATAAGAGAAAGAAGCATCATTTGTTTCTACATTGGAAAAAGTTTATCTAAAAACTCCCCAGAACATATCACAAAGCCTGATAAAGGAAGATGATATATTATGTATGACCTAATGAATGTTCAATAAATTCTAGAAATTTGCCTCCTTCCTGGAAGACAGTTCAAGGCTTTTTAAATCCAGTGTTCATTATTGATATCCAAGGGGAAATAATCTCATAAGCCTGCTTTTCATTAGATTTCTTTGAGGGAAGAGGGGAGCATGTACTCATATTTAGTAATCGTAGAGAACTAGGAAACCCAGGATTAGATTATGAAATTAAAATACTTCAGAAACCTCAATTTCTTCTCTCACAATAGTTAAGGAGGCATTTCCATTGTGGCATCCCCACCATTGAGTGGGAAGGAAGCTGGGACAGTGAGTATCTGTCACTGAGACTCACATTAGTGAACCTTGCTGGGAGGCAGAAATTAAATACATGGATTACAAACTAAGGAAATGAAGGCGAGATCTGCCAAGACCCTCTGGGAATGGAGCAGACATAGAAAAAAGCAGAAAGAAAGACCAAGTCCTTCCTGGTAGCGGTACTGAATTCTTAGGTCAAGCAGGGTCTGAAGTCAATTACACCCCTGGATTTTTAGGTGTATACTCCTCTAAATCTGTAAATTGTCTCCCCTTCCCCATCTTTCCTAAAACTATCTTGTAACTAAAATAAAGTTTACTAGTACCATTGGCAATATTTGGTAAATTTCCTCAACTTTCTTCTATGATTGATTTGTATGTTTCTGTTACTAATCAAGGGAAACTTACTGAGCAAGGGGACCCTAAGATCATCATATTCTGTATATGTTCATGTCATATTATATTATACTATGTTATATTTAGAGACATCACTTTGGGACTTGTTTGGCTATACTCATATATCTCTCTAGGT